AGCTTGTTCTAAGTAGGTGCTTTAGACCACTGAGCCATCTCTCCAGCCCTCTACTCTTTTAAGGTTGGAAAATTATAAGTCAAATTATTGCAGGTTGGTAGGGATTGTCTGCATATCTTTTCAGGCTCTGTGTGTGTGTGTGTGTGTGTGTGTGTTACTGTACTAGAGATTGAATACACTGACCTGAACCCCCAGCCTTTTTAAATCTTTTTTTATTTTGAGACAAGGTGTTGCTAAGTAGCTAAGTTGCCCAGGCTGGGTTCAAATTTTCCATCCTTCTGCCTCAGCTTCCCAGAGTACTAGGATTATATATGGGCATGCACCATCACTGCCAGCTTCATTCTTTTTTCTGTGCGCACACACACACACACACACACACACACTGTTTTTTGTGGGGTTTCTTTGAGACAGGCTGTCAGTATGAAGTTCAGGCTGGGCTTGAACTTGCTGTGTAGCCCTCGCTGGTCTTGAGCCCACTGCGATCTTCTTGCCTTAGCTTCCTGAGGGCTGAGATTATAGGCGTGGTGATACCATACCTGGCCGGCACACACATCTTTCTCAAAACTGGGACCCTTCCATATGTGAGTGTCTCTCCCTTTTTTCACTGAGAACCCCCACTGAAAGCAGTAGCAACGGAAACCCTGGCCCAAACGGGCTGAAGCAGAAAAAGGGAATTTCATGGAAAACATGAAAACCAGGTAGGATTCCATGCAGGAACTGCTTGAAGAGAGATTCAGGCAGTGATGGGATGAGCTGCCAAATAACTGAGGTTATTTTAAAATATTTTGCTTTATAATTATAGTGCAGTGGCAGAGTGTGGCTTAGCACGTGAGAAATGAACCCAGGACCTGTCCATGAAAAGGAAATGTGTTAAAGCTCAGCCCCATCTACAGGCCTTTTTTTTTTTTTGGAAGAACTGGGGATTGAACTCAGGCCCTTGTGCTTGCCAGGGACACGCTTATTTCACTGAGCCATCTCTCCAGCCCTTTGCTTTATAATTAAAATATATATTCAGTGTTTGTGGTTTTTCTGTTTTTTTCTTTTTTTGGTCACAGTGTGAGGTGGATAATTCTGTCATTTTACATGGTTTCTTACCAAGATTTTGTAATTATAAAACATTTCCCTAAACAAAGAAGAACAAGAGGGATTTCAAAGAGACTCAATCCCTTTTCCCGTCCTCCCCTCTGCTGTCCCCACCCGCTTGCCCTGGAGCTGAAGAAATGACTCCACCCCTGTCTGTAGGAACGGTTGTCCCACATCCCCTGGCCCAGGGGCAGACACTTGCCCCATCCAGGGCAATGCCAACTCCCAGCAGTGTATCTTGGCTTGGTCTTCTCTCTGTAAGGGTAGGAAGATCTGTAAGAGTTGTGCCTCATGCCCTGGAGAGAAATCCAGACAGAAAATGGAGAGCCAGGGAAGAAATGACAGCTCCAGACAGGACAGAATACTCTGTCCTGTCTGGAGCTGTCATTTCATAGATATACAGCTACTTTCTCTGAATTCAATGAGAAGAAAGCTTTGTACTAATAGTGTTTGGACAGGATATCATGTCTGCATCTTGTACTATGAATAAACACTACGAAGACAACAATGTGCAATGTATTAACTATTGAAACTGTCCTACTAATCGGTTTTGAAACTGTCTCATGTTATTTGTTGTCTGCCTTCCCTCCTCCCTCCTTTCCTCTAAGGACAGGTCCCAGATGCCAGTGGGAAAGAAGAAAGCTGTTCCGTTGTGTGGAGGACCACCTGAGCAGCTCTCCTTGAAAGAAGAGCGACTGTCTCCTTTTTGACTGAGCCTGAGCCTATTTCCGTGTATTGTTACGTACAGAGCTGGCTAGGACTTCTGTTTATCCTTCAATTGGCCTTAAGCACTGTCTATTGGTCTAGCTGAGGCACTGGTGGTAGTCTTTGAAGGTGGCGTGCATGTTTCCCTGATAGCCCGCACCTGCTGCTCTTTAACCTGAGCCGGGTCAAGACAAGATGAAGAGCCAGTGTTCCGTGCTGCCAGCTGGGATTGAGCCTCAAGATAGAGGCTATGACTTCCTGGGGCTTGAAAGATTACATCAGAGCTGAAGCACCAAAACCCCAAAACTTTAGATATTATCTCGATAGCATAACGCAGATTACTGTCTCTGCACATCCTCTCTGCATACAGCAGAGGTAAATGTAGGCCACCCGCCTAGCTCAGCTCACAGTACTCACCTACTTCCCACAATTCTCAGTCATTCCTCCTCAAGCCACTCCTCTTCCACTGAAGAACAGCCAGGTACTGTCCTGGGTCAGCCTCTTGTTCCAGAAAGCTATCTTCACGGCTGGACTTAGGGCCCGTTGGCTCCCCAGTAATTATAAATATGTTTTAGTGTCTTTACTTTTTTTTTCAAGTTTCTAAAATTCTTTTTATTCATTTTCATTTCTTTAAGACAGAGTTAGGGCCGGGGAGGTAGCTCAGTAGAATAAGTGGGGTGTCTTTATTTTCGCCGTGGAGTGGTAGATTGGAATTAACTTGGTGGGATTCCAATAATGTATCTTTGGGATGACAAATATTGACTTCTTGGACCTAGACAAGGACCTGGAGGGGACTCCTACACCCTTGGAGGCCTGCTTCAGCCACAGCCTCCTCTGCCCCTGGGATTCCTGCCTAGCAGGACCTGTGCTGCACAAAAGCTGTCCCCAGAGAACCTTGCCTTGGTGACCATGCAGAGATTGTTCACAGCTTAGGGTATGATGCTGGGTTTTTCTAATTTAGAAGTGGCCCCTGCACACAATACGATATTCAAACAGTACAAGAGAACCTGTCAAAGACAGCCAGCCTGCAGCATCAGGGGGCTGAGCCATTCTGTCCCGAGGCAGCCGTGTTACCTGTTCTTGCATCCTTCTCCCAGAAATCTTCCCCAGTATGCGCATTTGCATGCACACATATGTAGGATAGCTTTAGAGTTTGGGATTTTTTTTGTTTGTTTGGGTTTGGCTTTTGTTTTTTTAAGACAGGATCTCACTATGTAGTTCAGTCTGGCCTTAAACTTGCAGGAATCCTCCTGTGTCTGCCTCCTGAGTGCCAGGATTACACACCACCATGCCCAGCTCAAGTTCTGGAAATATTGCACCTACTGCTGCGTTCTTTGGCTTTCTCCTAACAATGTTTCTTGGAAATTGTTCCACATCTTTCTTTCTTTCTTTTTTTCTTTCTTTCTTTCTTTCTTTCTTTCTTTCTTTCTTTCTTTCTTTCTTTCCTTCCTTCCTTCCTTCCTTCTTTCTTCTCCTCTTTCTCCTCCTCCTCCTTCTCCTTCTTCTTTTCTTCTTTCTTTTTGAGACAGGGTCTCCCTCTGTAGTCCAGTCTGGCTTTGAACTCACTATGTAGCTCAAGCTGCTCTTGAACTTGCATGTATCCTCCTGCCTCAGCTTCCTGAGTGCTGGGACTACAGGCCTGATGCTGCATCTTCTGTACCCAGTGCAACTTTTTCTAACAGTTTTATTGTAATCCGTTGTGTGGAGGTACCAGAACTCATCTAGCCAGTAGCTAATGAGCTTAATGTTTACTACAAAACAAAAAATTCCACAATAACTGTCCTGAGACTTCTATCTTTGCTACGTAGTTCTTGCTGAGAATTCCCATTCTGTTATTATTTCTCATCACAAGTTCCTAGGGAGGCCTGGTGAGATGACTCAGTGGTCTAAAGCACCTACTTAGAGCAAGCTTGGCAGAGCTCAGGGACTGCGGTTCAATCCCCCAGCACCATATGCCAGCCAGCCCTGCCCCCTGGTGGGCTGAGCTGGCCACACACACACACACACACACACACACACATAAATTAAAAAAAAAAAAAAAAAGTCCCTAGGGAAGCTAGGGGATGAGATGATTCCAGCATTTTTAGGTCCTATGTGAAATACCACTCCCTTAACTAGAAAGAAAAAATACACATACTGGATAGGTGTTTTTAGACATATAGACGCCCCTTGCTGAATATTTTGTGCATACTGCTTCATATGTCGGCTTTCTAAGCGTCTGCGCTTGCCTGTGTGTGAATTTCTCTCAGGGATCTGGGAGGGAACATTCCTGGTGGTCAAAGATTAGGGTCCTAGGGCCAGGCATGCAGCTCAGAGGCACAGCACCTGCCTGGCAAGCACAAGGTGCTGAGTTCTATTCCTAGTACGAAAAAAAAGGGGGGGAGGATGTAAGTGTGACCTGGCAGAGACACTGATCGCCAGGGTTGATTCGGCTGCTGTGGCTGCC